TGTTCTTGAAACAGAAGAATGAATTCTAGGGAACAACGGAGGTTAAGAGTAGAAAATTGTATTGAGAGAAAGATAGCTCCTGCCTAAAAGAGACCGAAAGGGGACTGGAAAGTGGGTTGTTCGCCCATCCTGCTTTCCATGGTGTTTTATACGGCAAAGCCATGAGGTGAGGCGGGTACAAAGTGGGACAAAACCATGACCAACCAATAAGATTACAAGTACAGTCACCCAGGCAATATTGATTAAACGGGGCTCCAATGGGAAGACAAGTCCCATAGAAAGAGTTTCCCATTTAGAATATCAATCCCTGCTATCTGTCTCTAGGGGAGGTAGTACCTGTTCTCTTTTCTATAATGCTAATCAGTGAATGCGCCTCAGTTGCTCTCCATGTTGGCTCCCCGCTGTGTTGGCTCCCGAGGGCTGGTGCCTTGAGGCCCCTGTCGGACTGCCTAGGGGATCTCTAATTAACTTACCAATCTGCAATATCACCACCTGGAGGCTGACCGCAGGGTCCCCTTCCGACTAGTGTTTGGAGCCAGAGCTTGCCTTGCTGCCCTTCGCTTGGCCCTTTCAGTGTGCCTTCTGACTTCGGTCCTGCCACCCTCGCCAGCCCCCAACAAGCCCCGCACGCTATTTCCTTTTATCTTTTTCTGGTGCTGGGGCATGGAGCCCAGGCCTTGAGTATGCTGCGCAAATGCTTTGCTCTGGAGCTGAGCTCCCAGCCTGGAGCCCTGCAGGCTGACAGACTGTGGACTCCCAGCGCAACAAGTGCCTGGCAGCGCTGCTTCCTTTCTGCTCCCCAGATCCCCAACCCCCTTGCTCCTCCCCGCTCACTCACCTGGACACCTGCTCCGCTCTTCTTCCCCAGCCACATTCTTCAGGCCCCTGTGCCTGAGCCCTGGACCCCCAAACACTCTAAGTGACCGGAGGGAGCCAACTTCCCGAGAACTGAGGCTGGTGGCCTGGAAAGGCTGAGGACATGCACCACAGTGGCCAGGCTTGGGGTGTGCCCTGCGCAGTGGGGGACACAGCACCTCTTCTCTGGCCCAGAGGTGGGAAGTGTTCCTGCTTGGGTGTTTGCGTGTCAGACCCCCCTCTCCTCTCCGCAGCTACTAGTCTCCCTTTCTTTAACTTTCGGTCCATGCTTTCCCTAAGCTAGCTCCCTCCTTTAACTTGGTTTTCTGTTTTTGTTTCTAACGTAACCTCATTGCATACTGCTCATCAAATCGATGGAGAGTGTGGACTGTTTCGAGGGAGAGCACTAGGAGAATCCTGACCGTAAGCAGCACACAGTCAGCAGTAGATTGCATTCCCGGGCCTGACACCAGCTTGGCTTCTTCCTTGTACCTCATGAGAGCATGAGAGTATTTCAATTCATTAAAAGTAGTAAAGAGTGAGGTGATCGTAGACGTATACACTAAGGTGATATATGTAAAATAGTAACATAAAACAATCCCTACTGAATTTTAAGCGTGCTGCTTTTTCTACATGGACCACCTCCCCAAAATGCCTGAAACTAAATGTTTGAAACGTATATGCCTTTACCATTCACCATCCATCCAGATCAAAATGTAAAGTTTTGTTTAATGATTCATCATATGCACAGAATGCCCCTAAAACATAATTATTTATTATGATCCTTGTCTCTTTCCTTCCCATAAGGTCATGGAGAAAATCACGCTTATGTATTAAACGGCCAGTCATATTAGCTTCTGGTTTGATTTGTTCTTATTTGACGCCTAACCTAAGAATTCCTCAGAGAATGCACATGATCTCCTAGTGTGGATATAACTGATACTGAGATTGGGAAGTCATTCCTGAGTTGAGTTACCCGACCCATCTCTCCATCCCAGATGACGGTGGGAGGAGCTCCCTAAGGTGGGAGACAGGGAGACTTGCTGATGTTGAAGCACAGAGGTGCTGCTGGAGTGTAATGAGTGGCCCAGGGGTGCTTCTGAACAGTCCCAACAGGCAGGATGACCCCGAGAATGATCTGCTGGGGCCCGAGTATCAGCAGTGCTGAGGCTGAGCAACCTGGATTTCGGCATGTCCAAGAGGAAGACTGGGTGACCCTTTCTCACTGTCAGAGGTTTATCTCAGTTCTCTGAAATCACCACCAAGCCCCAGTGATTTGGCCAACTCTGAGGGTTGAGCATTGCTTGTGCACTTTTACACATTCCCCACCTTAAAGCTCAAGGACATTGCGCACTAGATACAGTGCTGATTGTCCGTAGCCACGTGGAAGTGTGGGCCTGGTGGGCCCCACCACATGCGCACCGGTGGCTGCTTATTGTGTACAGGTGAATGCTTCCTTACCTGGGGAAATGTGTGCCAATATGTGGCACATATATTTCCCTATTTGCCAATATGTGTGATGTTGGCAGTGCCGAGAGGGAAATCCATTAGGCTTGTGGCACTTTAAACATTTTATGAGTGAGACAAAACACAAATGAATACACAGGTTTTAGTTTGGATGTGAAACATTCTATTTGTTTAGGAATTTCCTCTCTTCTCTCCTTTTCACCATCAGGAAACAGAAAAAAAAGTCATAAAACTGCAAGACATGAAAAACTGATAATTATTTTGTTATGATGGAGAGGTAAGGTGGATGAAGAAAGAGAGAGAGAGAGGGAGAGGGAGAGAGAGAGAGACTCCTGTGAAGGGAAGCACTCCCTCACACACAAAGAATATATTTTAAAATATAATTCTTTTGCCAAAAGAAAATTTTAACACATTGAAATGAGCTTGGGCATTAGGACCTACTAGAGGCTCCTGAGTGCCGGTCACAGCACTGGCTCTGACAATTAGGAGACGGCCTGGCAGGTTCTGAGCAATGGTCAGGTGGATGGTACGAGCCAGAGAGAGTGCATAAGAGAAGAGATGCTCCCAGCGGAAGGCAGATGAAAGGGTGGGTGGGTTGGTCATTTATGGGCGGCACCAATTGAGGAACTGCTCCTGTTCTAGAAAGTTCCTGTGACTCCTGGAAACAGGAGCACAAGGGAGCCCGGAAGAATCAGAAGCAACATGCTCATTGCTGGATAGGACCTTCCACAATGCAAAGCTCCACGCTCTCATTTTAGGGTCTGAAAAAGCTGATTCGGAAAAGCTAGTCATTTTGATCAAGCTCACTCCGAAACCAGGGCCAGGCTGGTCCCGGGGTTCCCCAGGCAGCCCGGGGACCATGCCATGCTGTCCCCAGGGAGGGTGGCAGTGCAACACTGGTGTGGGAGCAGAGGAAAGAGGGGCGCAGCGCAGGGCCAGAGGGGAGCCGGGGGAGGAGGGCAGAGGCTCGGTGCGCGTGGAGGGGCGCGCCTTATGTGTGGGGTTCGGGTCCCTTGTGATGCCCGGGATGGCACACAAGGGCAGAAGTCACAAGGGACAGAGTTTGCATGCTTCAGGACCTCTCTGCTGTCCCCTCCGCCCACCGGAGCTCCGGAGTTTATCTGGTAAAGGATGACTAAGGCCCTACTTTGCTAGGTGCTGCTGGGCTGTAGTAGTGCATAAGACACACAAGGTCGTTCTTTCTCAGGAGCTCGCTGTCTAGTACGTATGATAATTTCTGATCAGTTAAATGCTATGAAAAATAACAAGAGTAACACGATAACCTCAGAGGCCTCCCTTGACAGCAGGAGGTCAGCTGAGGCCTCTTGGAAGAGGCGACCTTAGGAATGAGACCTCAAGGACAAGCGGGCTCTTGGGAGAGCCCGGCCTGTAAGGTCCGGCTGAGGGTGCAGCCCGGCAGGGGGTCCCGGAAATGCAGCAGCAGAGGTGCGCCAGGCTGCCTCCGCTGGGGGCACGCCTGCATCCAAGCACGAAGCACCTACTGTGTGCAAGGCCTTTTGCTAAGTACACAAACACGAAACTGAGAAACGCCGGGCTCGAGGAACTCTATGCCGAGGACCCCGGAAATTCAGGAAACCCGAGACACCCGAGCAAGCTTGCGACGGTTAGAAAGCGAGCCACCCACGACAGAACCACGGCAAGACATCGCCGCGCTCCTGGGCGGCCAGGGCCTTTCCGGGCGATCATTCACACGGCCGGGCGCTCTGGGGGGTCACTCGGCCCACGCCCCGCAAAGCCGCCGCGAGCTGTGAAGTCAGAGACCCGGACACCTGCTCCCCACGTAGGAGGGTCAGGGCTCCCCCAAGTGAGTCAGGAGCCGCTCTGGGCGCCACCCCGGCTGGGTGGGCGGGGCGGGGCAGGGCCACAGGAATCCCCGGCCCGGCCGAAGACGTCGGGCGCAGAAACCCCAGGCCAGGGCAGCTGGGACGAGCACCGAGCCCGGGGGCTGGGGTGGGGGCAGGCAGGGCCCGCGGGTAACCGGCTGCGCGTGCGCGAGGGCCTCGGGAGGCTCCGCCCTTCGCCCGGCCCCGCGGGGGCGCGCAGGAGCCCGGCTCCCGGCGCGGGGGCGCGCGGCCCGGCCCTTTCCCGGCGCTTCCCGGCGCGCCCCGGCGGGCGGGCGTGTGGCCGCGCTGTCGTGGCATGCCACTCGCCGCCGGCCACCATGGGGAACGGCATGAACAAGGTAACGCGCGGGGCCCGGCCCGGCCCGGCCCCGACCCCCGGCCCCCGGCCCGCGGCGCAGCTGCCCTCGGCGCAGTCCCGGGCCCCGCTGCGGCTTCCGGACGCCCCACACCCACGGCCCGGGAGCGCGCGCTCGCGTCTTCGCTCGGTCATTTCCTCTTTTCTCCCAGACTTTTTTTTCTGCGTGCACAGATGAGTGGCTCAGGTAGATGGAGAAGTTGACAGAAGCCCAGCCCTGGTTCTGAAGGGGCGAACAGATCCGGGGGTGGCTGATCCCGGCTTGAGCGGCTCCGGCAGCCTTGAGCAAGTCCGCGTCGCGCTCGCGTCCCCGCCCGCCGCCGCTGCTCCCCGGGCCCACTGTGGCGGGGCGGCCCTCCTGCTACCTGGCGTTTCCCACCGACCGCAGGGTTCAGGGTTTTGGATTTGGTGCTTGCTGCTGGTTGAAAGGGAATTCGTGGGAGGCTTTTAGGCAAGAGCCTCCCGACAGGTCTCGGAACGGTCCTGGGCCAGCGTGGCCTCTGCCTCCTGCCTCTCTTCTTCCCGTGTGCCGGTTCCTGCCTCCACCAGCACTGCTTCCAGACGGGGCGGGGACCACGCCATCTCCCCCTCTCTCCCCCATCTCTGTGTCTGTCTCAGTACGGGGTCAGCAGAGGTCCGGTTCCGTCAGCAGGAGCTGCTCCCGTGAAGTCCGGCTGGCCGAGATCAGAGTGGCAGGCCGGTCCTGCTGTCCGCTTGGCCCTTGGCGTCCATCCCCCCAGGTCTCTTGTCCTTGAGATCCAGTTCCTGAATGAGCTGCTGTGGTTCCAAGCCTGCTGTCACTCACTGGGTATTCTGGTCACCAGAATTTTGTTCTTTTTCTTTTGGTCAGTGATGAAGTTGGAAACAGTGTCCCTCTCCCGATGACGACTTGCTTTATGACACGTGACAGGGACGTCCCTCACAGGCGTGCAGCTCCCCTGCCTTCTGCTCACGGTGGCCACCCCTCAGCTCACCTCAGTTCTGTGGTCCGCTCTGGCTGGCAGCTTCCCTTCGGTCACAGTTTTCCCACTTTGGTTGTTAACTTTCCACCTCGTTTTACATTTAATTTTAGCATTTTTGTATTATAATTCAAAAATTAGATTTAGGAATGCAATTGATGGCCGAAGGAAGCAAAACTCACTTCATCCTTTTCGGCAAAAGCAGTAATATTCATATCTTGCTATTTAGCTTTGGGTAATACTAGTTTATTGTCACAGTTGTCTTGTCCCGTAAATACAAGGTGCAGAGACTCCAGGACCCGATGCACCCGAATCCTGTGCTTCCTGCGCCCTCCCTGGGAGGGACAGGAGGGGTCCAGGGCAGAGGGCCCCCTTGGGGTCCTCCACAGAACCGCCACTGTGGGCCCGCGTGTGCAGTAGAAATACAAAGTGGGCCATGTGTGTAATTTTACCATTTCTAGTGGCCACATTTAAAAAGTAGAAACAGGTGAAATTCATTTTAATAATATATTTTATTTATCTAGACATATTTAAAACATTGTCATTTCATTATGTAACTAATACGTACATTGGAATATTTACGAAAATAGTATCTCACTGGGGACTGGCCATATTTTAAGTGCTCAGTAGCCACTTTGTCAAAAGTTTACTGTATTTACTGCACAACACAGGTTCTGTGTGCACACGTGTGTGTATGTGACAACTACAAAGTGGAGGGCTAGAGGCTCTGAAGGTTAAGACAGACGATTTCAAGAGAGTGGCAAAGGTAGATGCATTTAACGCAGCCTCGGGGGACCATGTACTGCAGGCAGAGTGAGTGCTGAACCTGAGATCAGAAGACCGACCTAGGAAGTCACTGAGTGCTAAGAGGTTGGGAGCCCACAGCTAAGAGCCTCAGCTTGAACTTCTCCACCTGCTACTGTGTAACTTGGGGTGGAATGGGATGGGGCTTCCTGTTTTCTCCAACTGTCAATAGACAAAGCCGAGATAATGACTGATTTATGGAATCCGTGGTGGGCGCTAACCCACTGTGTTTTTCTTTACAAATAAAAAGATGTGATGTCCTTAGAACTAAAAAGCAACTCAGGAACCCTGAACTTTCTGAGACAAGACGTCTTTCTCATCTCATATAAACTGGTCATCCTTGTCAAAAGATTTAGGACCTAAACAATGTAGAGGCCACTCTGACTGCTTTATGGGTAGCAGTTTTTCATTTTATATTTCACATCCCCAGACTGGATCTCCTCATTATCGCCTTCCAGTCGGTCCCATGTGTTACAGAGCCGGTGAGGGAAAGCGGCTTCTGTGAGGGATGAGGAAATAGAAGTGGCAACGCTGGAATTTGGGCTCTGGTGTTTTCAGCCTCACGTCAGGGGCCCGCACGCTGTAAAATCCCCTCAGGCCTGTGCCCAACAGATGGACACCCGCATTGTGACAATCCAAACTCGCCAGACCGTGACAGGCATGCTCGTGCCAGCTGAGAACAGTGGTCCGCTGTCTGTCTCAGAAGACGCTGGGCCTGTGTGATCCGGAGCTGGACAGTCATCAGGGTGGGATGGGCCTGAGGGGGGTGCCCCGGTCCAGGATGGAAAGGGCTGGAAGGTCTGGCTGCTCTGCTCCCCTGCGGCGGGCGGCGGGTGACTTGGCCGCCTTCATAATTCACCCATCCATCCATTTACCCCTTCATCCCTCAAGTCGAACACCTCTATGGTCAAGGCCCAGTGCTAGATCATGTGGGGAATAAGGCCATGAAGACTCTGCCACCTGAGTTGGTCCCAGGCGCCCAACAGAGGGGCCCTAGGCAGGAGGTGAGCAGCAGCTGCAGCGAGGGCAGGCAGCCAGGCAGCGGGACAGCAGTCTGTCCCCTCAGCCCCTTCGAGTGTCCCCCTCTCTCCATGGTGCATCTTTATTTCACACTGGCAGAACAGGTGGTTAAGGTGACCCCGCAGAGCACACAGAGGCATTCTCAGGTGCTTCCCTTTATAAATGTGAGCTGGTTAAGTGCATGGCCACATGACATTAAGAAAGTCTTGTGACTCTCAACCCTTCAGGAATCCACCGAAGTTTCCCCATCATCCCTGGCTCTGAAACCCACAAAGTCCTTTCTGACCTCGGAAGGATAAAGGTTCTACCCACACTGTGCACACAGGGCTCCAGGAATTTCTCCCTTACCTCCATCTGGGTGGGGTTCTCAGGTCCATGGCATCCCAAAGTACTAGGAGACGTGTAAAAAACGAATAATATGTCTTGCCTTCAGAGCAGGATTCTTGTGGGCTCACGTGAGTTTTTGTGGCGTTCCTGGGTGGCAGTGTCGGTCACTGTTGGGCGTGGGTGTGGCGGGTGTCGAGCAGCAGGGGCAGCCACCACCAGGAGTCTCTCAGGTGTCCGCCAGGTGTTTCTGCAGAAGGACTCTGCCCTCCTGGCCTGTGCCCAGGCAGTCTTGTGAGAGAGAGCAAGGGCCTTTTGGCCAGTGGAATGCCAGAGCCCCGTTGCTCTGTGGTTTATCCTGAGCCACTGGTCAGTCTCCGTAGGCCAGATGTGGGCAGGCGTGGGTGACACAAAAGGGAACAGGACCGAAGTGTCCTGCAGGGTCTGAATGTGGTTTGTCTGCACCAGAACTCTGACTGAGTCTTGGTCCTCAGTGAAATGGCGTTGAGAGATGGGGTGACATGTAGGGCGCATTTGGGACCTGGAGACAGCACCTCTGGAGTGGTTTCATGTTTTTCTTGCAGCTGTCATGAGAATTCCGTGCCTTTTCTCCCTCCACAGAAATGTGGTGAGGAAAATAAACCCGAGTAGTAGGGAGCCGGGGATTAGCTCAGTGGTTCCGTGCCTGCCTCACAACCGCAAGACCCTGAGTTCCATCCCTGCTACCAGGAAAAAAAGGGTGTGTGCTGGTCCAGAGAGGCCTCCCTTAAAAACGGGAGGAAGGGCGTGCCCGGCAGAGGAACGGGATGATTCAGAGGTCTGCTGAGACTAGGTCCGACCTGTGCCTGTTCCTTTGGAGCAGCGGAGCGCCCACAAGTTGCACCTACAGACTTTTCTTCCTGATCTGCTCTTGCTTCGGGCTGACACTCAGTCTGTGCGTGAACTGCTTCTCCGTCCACGAGCCCTCCCTCCTTGCCCGGTGTCCTCGCCTTTCTGTCCCTCACACGACTCACTGCACTTCATCCTCACCCATGTTTGGGATTACTAACGCTGTTGGGAAAGGGGGTGGCTCAGATTCTCTGAGGTCCAGATTGGAATTATGAGCTGACTGGCGTAGAGGCTCCTGGGCTTCTCATTCCTTCTGCCGGGAAGCCCCCATTCTTAATCTGACTCTGTAACCTGACGCAGAAGGGAACTGGGACCTGGCTGCAGACCGACTGCTTTGTTTTCCAGCCCTTGAAATTCAAGCACACCCTCTTGGTCTGGACAGTGAGGCCAATACCGACTGAGCCCCTCTGCGCCATCCACGCACGTGGCGTGGAAGTGTCTTCCAAGCATGTGAAGGGCCCGTCTTCCGTCATCTTCAGTCCTGCCTCCTCCAGCCAGACTTCTGGGCTCTGCCTGAGCACCACCCTGGGTCCCGGCTCTGCTCCGTGCTCACCCCAGGGCCCCTCTTCGAGGTCCCTGCTTCCCACCAGGCCCCCAGCTGGGCGGAGAGGGGCGGCGTTGGACCTCTGGCCGGGTGGCATCGCCTTGCATCCCTCCCCTCCAGGTTTCTTCTCCCACTGTGCTGACTTTATTTGTTCTTCCATTCCCTGGAGAAACTGACTTGTGTACCCACCCAGCAGAGAAGCAACCACATTCAGAAAGCACACAGCCCACTCACCTTGTGGTGGGTCCCCCTCTTCGTGTCGAAAGTACTGGGGGAAATTCCACCAGCTTCCAAACACCAGGACTTGTGTTGGCCACCTGGTAAGCCATGCAGCGGCCTCACGGATGGCGCCTCCGAGGGCCTCCTGAGGGCATCGATTCCTCTACCTTGTGGGCAGCCTAGTGGTCCTGTAAATACTGCACATCTATGGACTTCTCTCTTACCGTTATTCCTGAACAATGCTGTGAGCAGTTATTTATATAGCAGCACATCCTGTCAGGTATTACAAGTAGCGAGGGCTGACTTACAGTTCGCAGCAGGGCACGCACAGGTTATAGGAAGTATGACGCCTTTTTATAGGAGGGAGCTGAGGGTCTGGACGGCATCTTTCGGGTGTCCCACAGCCAGCCCCTCAGAATGGATAAGTGATGGCTACACCGACAGGGCCAAGCAGGTGGCAGATGGGGCTCAGCCATAGCCAGACCACAAATGTGTTCTGTTTATCTAACACCGTATTTATTTTTCAAATCTTTTCCAAAAAATGGGCCATTTCCCATGAAACCTGGATCCTGGCCTGGGGGCCCCACCCGGCGTCTGTGTGTGCCGTGGAAGCTGCTGTCCCATGGTCACCGCCCTAGAAGGGCTGAGATTGGAGCAGGCTCTGGGGTGGGCAGAGGCCGAGGATGTCAGCGTGCTCGGCCCCGAGAGGCCGGGTGGGCAGTGTTCAAGGTGCGCTTTGTGCTGAAAGCTGCCTGCAGCCCTGGCAGGATTTAGGCCAAAGACTCCTGCGGCCAGCTTTCCTGTGAAGACCATGTAAGGGGTCCCTGGGAACCCCAAGTCCAGAGGAAGCAACCCCTGGGCAGCTGTGGGCAGGGCCGGCGGGCTGACCAGCGGTGCAGGTGCAGTGCTGATGCTGGAGGAGGGCCAGCGGGGGAGCTGCGGAGCACAGCCCAGCCAGAACCAGAGCTGGCTCTGAGGGAAGGTAGGAGAGCTTCCCGACCCAGGAACGGGCTTCGGAGAAAAGAAAGTAAGTGGCCATTATAGGTTTGTGATTTCTGACCACCTGAGGAATGAGGGCCCCAGAGTGTTCGGAACACAATCCTGGGAACTGACACCAGTAAGGGGTCAGAGAAAGTCAGTGTTGCCTGACTTGGCTGGACCTGGCAGAGGGGGACGTCCTTCTCCTGCCCTGGCCTGGGTCTCACTGTCCCCCGAGCCCGTACGCCAGGACTTGGTCACCAGCCTGCTGTACCGCTGGGAGGTGGTGGAGCCCGACAGAAGGAAGTTAGGTCTCCGGCAAGACCTGGACGGCAGCGGGGACCTTGCCCCTGTCTCTCTCCGCACTTCAGGCCCCCGAGGCCACCATGGAGCAACGGGGCCTGTGACCAAGGTCGGAAACCTCCAAGCCCTGAGCTGGGTGGATCTTGCCCTGTGCCACAGGCATCAGTCACAGCTGATGAACATTTAGCTGAATGTGTGGCCTTCCTTTTCTAAAGTAAGGAGTTGCCACTGAACATTTTGATCTGGAAAATGACTCCAGAAGAATATGACTTTATTTCAGTTAGCGTGATGGTCTCGAGGTGCACCCATTTCTTACAGTGACTCAAATTTATCCTTCTTTATGGCAGAGCAATACTACATCAGAATACTACTACACAAGCTTGGATATTGCATGGTTCCTCGTATATGAGAAAACCAAAGTGCAAATAAAGACCAAAATAAAAGATTGATGATGGGAAGCAGGGAGACAGATCTTTGCAAAGGCAAGGGACCATGAGATGAGGGGATGAACAAGGAATTAAGAGGTATC